TATATATATATATATATATATATATATATAAATTAGAGTTAACAAGCCGCCTGAAACGTCGAAAAACTAAAGGAAGCAGTTGGCGTGAGCTATCGCCATTGCCATCTCCAGGGGCCCCTTTCTCACGTTTGAAATGAAGATAGCCGTTTGGTCCTAGTAAACCGTCGCCTCAGCTCGCCGCATCTTCTCCCTCTTTCTTGGAGCTCCGCCTAGAGACGTTGACAGAAATTTGAAATTGCTCATCTTCTCCATTTCAATTCATTCATCCCGTTTGATTTCCACTTTAGAGAACGCCATGAGTGCAGAGCTTCCAGTTTTCTCAAAGGAAGAGATGGCCGTAGAAGAGGCTCATGGATTCCCCAAGGCCTATGCCTGGCTCTGTTCAAACTTAGAAACCAATGGACCTTTCGCAAATGGACCTCCTCCTTCCTTCATTCCACGTGCCTTGCAGTCTCAGCAGGTTTTCCTTTCACTTTCTTTCTAAATCCTTGGTTGCGAATGGATTAATCATTTTCTTTTTACAGGCATTAAAAGTTAAAGAACTGAACCGGATGTTCCCCGTTATCGATCAAGATGTTCGCCGCCCTTATGTGAATCTGAAAATTTATGCCGAATTTCTCTGGGTGCAGCTTGATGATCTTGAGTATGATTGAACGACACACTTCTATTTGTATTGGAATATGTTCTTCGTAACTATTTTGGTCATCTTGGGCTATTCTTGTTCTGCTTTTTCAGGAATGCTGGATTTGATCCTGCTTTGTTTCGAGTTGATCGTTTTGGAAATGTAGTCTACCGACATGCTGATTCATCTTCTCCTCTTGCTTGGGACATTGATCACTGGTTTCCTATTTCACGTATAATCAACCCTTATTTATATGAAAAATATTATGATTTTATGCAATTATAACTCATTCAATTCTTCTCATTTCTAAATGTTACTTAAAGATGTTGTTTAAATGATGTTATTTAAACATGTTGCCAAATCAAACAGTCAATGTCTTTAAAAAACATTACTGTTTGAAATAAAAAGCTACTCAGTGCCTTTAACCTTACTCCCATTGGATCAACATTGATGAATCAGTTTTATCTAATTGTAATTTAAAGGAGGAGGTAGAACAGTTCCAAGTAATTTGAGAATACTACAATGGCAAGTGTGCAAAAAGAAGAAGAACAAACTAGATTTCCTAATTCCATGGTGGGATCTTCAGCTGTCAGTTTTATCTAATTGTAATTTAAAGGAGGAGGTAGAACAGTTCCAAGTAATTTGAGAATACTGCAATGGCAAGTGTGCAAAAAGAAGAAGAACAAACTGGATTTCCTAATTCCATGGTGGGATCTTCAGCTGGGCATTTCAGTCAACCAATTTCTATCCATATTTGCCTCTAAGAACTCAGATTTCAGGTTTTTTTTTATCTGTTCTTTTTAATGTTTCCACTACTTTTGTCCTATGGGAACTTGTTTTTTAAGATTATATTGAAATTTATCTTAATTTGTTGTAGGAGTAGAGCTTTCTCCTTCTTCTTCCTAGATGGAGGGGAGGGACTTGAATGTTTGCAGAATTTTAATCTGCATGGTTTTCCTCAGAAATTCTTGGATTCCAAGAGAAAACTTGGATTAGCTCCAGCGGCAATCGTCTCATCACAAATTAGTTCTGAAAGAATGACACTAAAGGCTATGGATTTTAATAGACCATTGGCACACAAACCTCCTTTCTCTGGTTAGTGGAAGCAACAAACTCCTTTAATATTGCTTTCAGTGGTTTTTTTTTGGCTTATGCTCACTCATTGATTACCTCTCAGCATCAATGGAATCATTTCAAAAGGGAGAAGATGCTGCTAACATTGAACTTCAAAGATTTAGATCAAGTATCTTAAAAGAAAATAATCAATCTGCTTTAGATGGTCATAAAAATAGTCCTTGTCTCACAATTTTATGTTCGACAGACTCATTGAGGAAAAGGAATGAGGCAAGGAAACATCAGGAAGAGATCAGTCGGTTGGTTGGAGAGTTGAATAAGCTAAAGCAGCAAAATGACACCGAGCAAACAACACTTCGTGAGTTGGAAGCAAAGCTGAGAACTACGAGAATTCTAGTAGAAAAGTTTCGACATCTATCAGAAATTCAGGCCTACTACCGATCCCTCTTGGAAAATATGATTAGAGATGCCATGCATGAGTAAGTTAAACTAAGCATATGTTGACATGTTTTTATAATCATCGTTAATGATTCTCAATAACATTATGTGTTATTTAGTTCAATTTTATGTAGAACACATTTTAATATTTATAACAATATTGTCATTGAATTATAGTTTGTTTGGTGTGAAGATAGCTTATTTAAATGAGATAAAGTGTAACCTAGAATGATCAATTATGATTATATGATATTTTTTCCATTTATTTTTTTGTCGGGTTTTAATATGATCAAAATAGTATTTAAATTCACAAAATTATTTTTAAAAAAATTCAATAATATTTTTTATTTTTTCTAATAACATATCACTATATAACATACATAACCATAAAAACACATATATTACGTCAATCATCTAAAACTTTTTGTATTAACCATTAAATTTTTATGATTTTAGGGCTATTTTTTACAAGAAGGACACCGCACAAAATGAAGCAGCGTTACAAACTTTATTGGCTAGATTGGAGGCCCAGAGAGCCGACTGTGATTCTTCTGGGAGTAAGCTCTGCGAAATATACAAAGAAAGAGAAGAAGTAGAGAAACGTGCCTTGGTTTGCTCTAAACAAGCCTTAAAAATATCGGAAGAATATGTTGATTGCAATGAAAATAGCCATCTTTTATGGTTGAAGAGCAAAGTAAGAAATCCAATAAAAAAGAAGTTGAGAGAGTTTCTCAAGGAGGAACAAAATGCTTTTGAGGGAGGCATTTCCTTGTCTTTCGATGGAAAAGAAAATTCAAAAGAAAAATCTAAAGTAACTATGAGTATTATTACTGAAGAAAGCGATCATTGCCAATCAAGTACGGTACACAAAATCAAAGATGTCATTCCTCAAATTAGTAAGCTTGAAGAATTTGCATTAAGTGATGAATCTTACAAAAGAGCTAAAGGAAAAAAGAAACAATTTTTTGATTACTGTAGCTCATCATACAATGTTGAAGAAGGGAATGGTAAACTTCTGGTTTCTAAGGATCATGATACGACTTTTAACAACAAGCTTATGGAAATTCATGATAGTAAGCTCAATGTTATTATGCCTCCTATTAAACAAAAGAAGGTTGAAATGAAGGAAAAGCAAGCTCAAAATAGTGCACTTGACGGAATTAAGACTAATAACTCACAAAGGCAATGGAGTCTTCATCCAAGTTCGCATAAACAACGAGAAGAGATTGAAGAATATAGATACCTAGTTGGAAAAGAAAATGCTGAAAAGTGGCGTCAAATTTTTCTGGAGAATGCCAAGGAAGGCTCACCATACTCTGATTTGCATTCAGCACCAAGGAACTTTGATGAAAAATTAAAGAATGCCAATGCTGAAATAAAAATAAATGAGGTTGATTTATGTGCAGCTAATAATGGAAGAGAGAAGAATATTTCAAATAAACTTCTTATAGAAATGAGATTCAAAGAGAAAAGCAAGGTAGGAACTAGTGAAAGTGCTTGGAATGTTGCAAGTAGGGGCAAAAAGGGATTTGTTGCTGAGGAGAAAGAAGAAAGCAAAAAAGGTTTACCGATATGTGAGAGTTCAAGTTCAAGAGGGTGTAAACCCTTGCCTTCTTCTCCATCTATGATTTTTGGGTTGAGAAAGAGGGAGTGTTGATTGCATAAGAAGAAAACCCATGGTGATTAGTGATGACAAAAATGCTCATGAAAAAACAAATTTCAAGAATAAGAACATGATCACCAACATTATCTCAAGAATAATCAAGAAAAAAGTAAGGAAATGAGATTTCTTCATGTATGCATTTAGTATTTTTTAATTTAGATGGATTATTTTATATGAATGATGTTATGTTCATTAATGCAAATATTTATTAAAGTTTTATACACAGTATCATGAAAGAACCTAGGGGTGCGAACGAGTAGTGTCGGGCTACATCCACCCTCGACTCAAGTTTGAGTTTGATTACCTAATCTAGTTTTAGCTGGGGCTTAAGTGTACGAGTTGAGCCAACTCTTATTTATTATAAAAGAAAGCATAATGTTAATTTAAGCTAATGTTATACTAAAATTATAAATTTAATAAGCAACTAAAAGAAACATAATATAAAATCACTGGACATAAAACATACGAATTTATTTTCAATTATTTATATAAAGTTCAATATAAAGACTTAAAATTTAATGTATATTGGGTGTATTTTTTAATAGTGTTTTTTTGAATGAATTTGCTGATGAGCTGCCGAGACAATTGACTTGTTAGCTCATCGAGTTCAGCTCATGAACTAATTATTAGAGTTGAGCCTGAGTCGGCTCACGAGGTGGCTTGGCTAACTTACTCTAAAAAATGTTTTCTTGAACTATATTCCAAGCTTAAAGTTACAATATTTGAGCTTATATTTGAATAAAGTATAAAAACGATAAAAAATACTTTTAGTAATCTCTATTTTTTAGCATGAAAATATAAGCCACTTACAATGTCAATTTTATAAAATTATTTTCTGGCACCTTGCAAAGGAGATGGCACCTCAAACCTGTAGAGCTTCCAACAGCACTGCCTCATTTTTGTGCCAACACAGCTTTACATAGGAAATTTAATTTGAAATTGTAAATGAGTAGCTTGCACTTTTCCCTCTCTTAGAGCTTGATAGGCAAGTCACTTTAAATGCCCATGGGGCATAGTTTTGTACATCCTTCGCTAGATATTAGTCCTATATGCAGCATTTTGTGAAGTGCATGCAAGGATTTTATCACTATCTGTAAATGGGTCCTACAAACTTTGAGGAGTATCAGGTCTGTAAGACTATGTAGTTATTAAGCATCCAATAGAAATATATGAATGTATTTATTAATTTGATTCAAGTTAAAGGCTACTAAGAGTCAAGCTACATACAAATAAAAGAAATAATCAACAATAATTCAATGAATTATTCTAAACAAAAACAAGTAAACAGAAACATAATAATAATAATACATGATCAGAATATTAGAAATTGGATATTTATTACATTCAATATTTCACAAAGGAGAAAGGAGCAGTGACATGGATAGTAGAGGTGGATGAGGCAATCTTGAAAACTTCCTGGACAGATGCAGGTGGATGGACGTCTTTGACACTCAAAAATTCATAACGTCTTTGACACTAAAAGAGGTGGATGAGGCAATCTTGAAAACTTACTGGACAGATGCAGTTGGATGGACGTTGTGGACACTCAAGAATTCATAAATATCAGAAGCAAATAATAAAATCCTCAAGTTGGGTAGAAGACACCAATCATAGCCCATTTGGAGCTCAAACTTTCAAAACTGATGAGGTGCATAACCTTAATGAGAATTTCAATCGTCAGAAGTTTTGAAGGAATGCAAACATACTTTCCTTGATGAACTGGTGATCCATTGCTATAAATTTGACCCGATCACGAAGGATTGCAATCTTTGCAACGATGACAGTGGCTTTATTATCACATGATATATTCTTTGGAATTAAGCATTTTCTTCAGCCAGATTCCTTCACAAATCTCATATGACATAGCCCTATACTTCCTCTTCAGCACTGCTTTGTGCCACAACAATTTACTTCTTACTTCTCAAGTTTCCCCATTCATATGTGCAATGCCCATTATATGATCTCCTACTATTAGCAGAACTTGATAAGTCTAAATTAGTGGACATTATCACATTTTTATTGAGAATTTTCATAAAATCTATTACTTCGCCAAGATTCTTATTCATAAGCTAAAGGATCTGAAAAATAGCCCTGATATGCTTCGGTGGGATTATTCATGAATTTATTGGCCGTGTTAACTGGTATGTGTCTAATAAACTAGTTTCCCAACATGTCTCAAATATGTTCTTTTATCAGTAAGAGAACTTCCATCCTCAGTGCTCATATTATCCTTTGAATTGATTGATGTGTCCATTAGTTTACAGCTCAACATTTCATTTTCTTTAAAAAGAACAAGGACATACTTTCATTGAAATACATAAAAGACAATTTTATCAAGTAATTTACCTAGAAAATATCAAAGTTTTCCAAAGTCTTTAATATCAAGTTTTTTCGCCTAAATGAAGTAGCGTTACAAACTTTATTGGTATACTGGAGGCCCAGAGAGCCGACTGTGATTCTTCTAGGAGTAAGCTCTGCGAAATATACAATGAGAGAGAAGAATTAGAGAAACATGCCTTGGTTTGCTCTAAACAAGCTTTAAAAATATCGGAAGAATATGTTGATTGCAATGAAAATAACGTGCCTTGGCATTTCCTTGTCTTTCGATGGAAAAGAAAATTCAAAAGAAAAATCTAAAGTAACTACGAGTATTATTATTGAAGAAAGCGATCATTGCTAATCAAGTACTGTACACAAAATTAAAGATGTCATTTCTCAAAATAGTAAGCTTGAAGAATTTGCATTAAGTGATGAATCTTACAAAAGAGCTAAAGGAAAAAAGAAACAATTTTTTGATTACTGTAGCTCATCATACAATGTTGAAGAAGGGAATGGTAAACTTCTGGTTTCTAAGGATCATGATACGACTTTTAACAACAAGCTTATGGAAATTCATGATAGTAAGCTCAATGTTATTATGCCTCCTGTTGAACAAAAGAAGGTTGAAATGATGGAAAAGCAAGCTCAAAATAGTGCACTTGACGGAATTAAGACTAATAACTCACAAATGCAATGGAGTCTTCATCCAAGTTCGCATAAACAACGAGAAGAGATTGAAGAATATAGATACCTAGTTGGAAAAGAAAATGCTGAAAAATGGTGTCAAATTTTTCTGGAGAATGCCAAGGAAGGCTCACCATACTCTGATTTGCATTCAGCACCAAGGAACTTTGATGAAAAATTAAAGAATGCCAATGCTAAAATAAAAATAAATGAGGTTGAGTTATGTACAGCTAATAATGGAAGAGAAGAATATTTCAAATAAACTTCTTATAGAAAAGAGATTCAAAGAGAAAAGCAAGGTAGGAACTAATGATAGTGCTTGGAATGATGCAAGTAGGGGCAAGAAGAGATTTGTTGCTGAGGAGAAAGAAGAAAGCAAAAAAGGTTTACTGATATGTGAGAGTTCAAGTTCAAGAGGGTGCAAACCCTTACCTTCATCTCCATCTATGATTTTTGGGTTGAGAGAGAGTGTTGATTGCTTGAGAAGGAAACCCATGGTGATTAGTGATGACAAAAATTCTCATCAAAATGCAATTTTCAAGAATAAGAACATGATCACCAACATTATCTCAAGAATAACCAAGAAAAAATTACGGAAATGAGATTTCTTCATGTATGCATTTAGTGTTTTTTTCTTGAGATGAATTATTGTAGTCATGATTATTTCAATGCCTGAATCATAATCACATTGTTGTAAATTTATCTTATGTGATCATCAGCTTGCATTGTTTAAGTGCTTTTTAGAATGCATTCATTATTATGATCCATTTTATTTATTTTTTAAATATCATAAGTGGAACAGTAAAGAACTAAAATAGATGATAGCGTGTGGCAGCAAGGCCACTGCTCCAAAGAGAAACAATAAGAAGATAAAAATATAATCAAACATCCAATTGAAAGTTCTAAATGAGTCATATTTTTAGAGTTGAAACATTGTTTACTTGATCTTCACACTTTTTCTTCATGCAATTAACAACATGTGGATGCAACCTTGCATAAGAAGTTTCAGTTTGAGTTATGTACTCTCGATCTCACGCCTTGTAAAATGTTTCAATTTGTGTTATGTTTACCCTTCAATAAAAATTTTTTTTGAAAATTTCAGCGATATGGTGTATAGGAGTATTCTCAATCCACCTATTAAAGTATTTGATTCTTTAGGTGAATGAAAAAAGTCTGTCTCAACAGCAACTGGTTGGAAAACTATAGTGCGTGCAACTAAAAACTGTTGCATCATCCCACATAGCTCAAGTCAGCCTGGTGGTGAGTTATAAGCTTATAATAGCCTTTTTTTGAATATTTTTTTAGGTGAGGTTTGTTAGAAAAATATGTTTCAACTTTATACACAAATTTCAAAAGAAAAGTACATAATAGCCAAGATCTTTTAAATTCATGATTTTTACATATGTAAAATAAAGTGACGCATACCTGTATTCATGATGAACAAATTTGATCTTGAAGAGATGGAGTTTCTCTCTCTAATCCCTTAAAACTTTCTGTACTTTCTGATGGAGAGAAATGTACGAGGTGTGTTAGGTAGAGAGAGGACCCATTCTCAAATTCATGCTCTATTTATCCACCATCCATCAAGGAGGTTACTAACCAATAGGATTTATGATAATTAATAAATTAATTGATTTTTATTAATAAAATCAATGACATAAGTTAGTAACATTTATTTATTTTAGGGGTTATATGAGTTACAAAAATAAATATCATAAGTTATCATAAATTATGACATAAGTTATGAGTTAAGAAAATTAATGAAATAAATATCATAAGTTGTCATAATTTATGACATAAGTTATGAGTTATGAAAATTAATAACTTAAGTTATCAAAAATAAATCTCATAAGTTATTAAAATAAATGTGAGTCATAAATAAAAATATAACATTCTCCCACTTGGTTCACTTAATTTTAATAGTGCATTACATACTGCAAGATAAATCCTTCTTTATATTGGTTAAATCATAAATTATTTAATAAGTATGA